CAGGCACGTGACGGAAAGACCTACACCAGGGATGGCGAACCAATGGCACGCGTGCCATTGATGGCACGCGCCACAATATTTAGGGCATGCCACCAAAATCACAAAGTGCAATATAATAAAACTAGCGGACGCCCGCGACTTCGTACTCGTGGATCCCGTTTTATCCCCTTAGGGGTGGAGTTTCGTAAAATCCTTTCTTAACGGACACCTACGTCATAACATCTACCTGTATGCCAAATTTCAGCCCGATCCGTCGAGTGGTTTGGGCTGTGCGTTGATAGATCACTATGTTAGTCAGTCAGTCACCCTTAAGTAATTGTATATTTAGATAGTAAATAATGTGGATCGTATTTGCCCTCATCAGTTAGTCGTCGTATCACGGTAGAGTAAGTCCTGTCGCTCGCCAGTGGCGCCACTTGTACGATACCCCTCATTGATTGGATTGTGCTATTTGATGGCACGACGTACTTTACTACATCACTTTTTTTAAGTGATAGGAAAGGTTCGCCTTCCCTGACCTACACCATTATAGTCCCAGGGTACACGTTTGAGTAAGCCGTTAACAGAGTCGCTGCTCCGCATAAAAAATACAAACTTTACCTCACTGAGCAAGTTACATGGACGCTTTTCATCTTGTTTTAGTCACAGCTAGTTTATTGCAGGGTATCTGAATGTGTGTACTGGGATGTAAAAAGGCACGCGTAGTTTTATGCAATGGAATAAACATGAGCGAAAATAACAATAAGGCTTACCTATCTCACAACAAAATATTTAATGTAGGAACTCGATATTACCTATTACTGAGGACGATGAATATTGTCTAATCATTTTGTTCCTTAAGAATTTGGGGAAAATCTTAAATCTTTCGTAATCATTTTACTAGTGATGATAGGTATAATTACTTAGCTAGAAATGATTAAGTTTATAAAAAACGTATCTATTACACGCCTGATATGAGTAACACTGTAAACCACGAGACTGTACAGTATACCTACACACTTTTCAGCAGTTAAAATCTATCCTATTCTATCCTTTTTTAACAGTGACGAACTATCACTTGGTGTGATTTAGCAGATGAATTGGAACAATTACTGTAAACTCTAACTCCCTTACTAATAAAAAGTTATACAGTTGTTGAACACTGTTTTAAAATGACGTTTCCATACTAAACGTCACTTTAAAACACTGTTCAACGAGCGTGTAAGTTTTATTAGTAAGGGGGTAAGCCTTTCGTCAGCAAAAGTCCCCAATTCATGCTTCCTACAATGTTAGCCATTTTTAATTCGGTTAGAACTGGTTCGCACCTGTGTCGCTCCCTAGGCTCGCATTCATCACCTCCATAGAGAATTCAATACGAATGTACAGCCTGCACATCCAAATTATTAAGTTGCAAAATGGTACCTAAGAGGACGACATAAGATGCGAATTTGTACGTTTCATCCGGGTTTAGTTCTTTTTTGGGAAAATTCAACCATTTGTCTTTCAGGAAACCTAATAGGATCCTAAACCCTTTTAAATAATGATAGTTTTTTTTTTAGCGGAAAGCATTAGATAATAAGTAAAAAGTTCAAGTACGTACGTCGAAAGCACGTAAATTGGACATTTTCTTGCAAAATAGCACATAATACAAGAGCCAAGGGCTTCCTCGTTATAAATAAAAAAAAGGATAACTCATTATTTACCTTGACGTGCATTTGCCTTTACCTCAAGAAAATATTGCCAAACTATATTTAAGTAGTAACTAACTGAGGGCCTAGTGTGAGTTTTTATAAACGCGCTCACTAGTGAGCGCGTCAAAAAATGACTTTAAATGTATGACGGATTGTACAGCGCCTCTAGCGGGAAACTAAAATCGTAACAAACGATGATCGTAACATACCTATTGATAAAACAAAACACTCTCTCACAGCTAAACTTTTCTCATTTTCTCAAAGTGCAAGGTTGCATTCAAATGTTTCAAGATGCTCATATGAAGACACCGTTATGTTTAAAACAGTCACCTTAATCTCGAAAGTGCATTTAGTTGATGGGGCCAGGAAAAGAACGTCTTTGAAGCTTGCATTCTCTTAGAAGTAATGTGAGTTGAAAGTTCTACCCGGATAGTCAAGGTTCTTTTGAAAGAAGTTGTTATTCTTCGAAATTGAGGAGCATTTTTTATAAAATGAAGTTACAAATTTTGTAATTATTCAATAGATGGTAGATAATGGTACGCAGTATCGTATTATAGTAGTATAATTATTAACTTTAGATACAAAGATGGTTAACAGCTACTAGTTCATCTTTTCTTGCAAATAATAAATAAATAAAAATCTAACAAAAGCGCATTCCTTCAGGCAATCAATCACTGTTTATGTCGCTTTAAGAAAAGGAATCCTTTTCATTAATTACCCTTCTCGTTATTCGTATTTGAGAGCTTATCTGTAGGTATATGAAAGAGACTTGTGACTAAGCAGAAAATTTTGTGACTAACTATATTATTATCACTAAACTAAGTACCTACTTATATTAGAATAAGCTTAAAATCTTATCTCTAGAATAAGTAATCCTTATTACAAGATCGTGTAATGTTAAGTGTCTCAATTTCGTGCCTAATACTTAGTAAAATGGCTTAAGCAAACAAATGATAAACCCCTAAACAAAATATATCGGCACTTACACCAAGCGCCCTCGCGAAAGTATTGAAAAAGAAATAAGGGTTCTCTTAAAACGAAGACATTGTATAAAATAAAACGGCACGAGGCTTTTGTCTTTTAAACCAAATGCTCCATTTGGGAAGTAGATGTGAATACGTAAGGTGGTTTTAAATGAAGTCAACGGGTATCACTTTGGTTATGATTTAGATGTTCGTTTCTTGTCTCTGACTCTGACGTTTGCTGAAGTCAGTCATGAACAAACTTCCCATAACTAACAGCAGTGTGATTTTAGATTAATGACCAAAATAAATATTAAGCTTAATTGAATTGAGACCCTTTTACATCCGTCATAGCATCCGTCATTTTATTAGCAGATCTGTGACTCCCAACTCCTCACATTCCTTTATGTAAATTTTTTGAGATTTCAACTATTTAAACTACTTTTTTTCTAGCAGTTTAATATCTCACAAGATAAGTTTTTATAGAACGCATTCTGCTGAAAGGTTAAATGTACCCTTTTGTCATCCGTCATACTCCCAGCTCCTCCATTTTCTTCAAGTTAATTTCGTTGCAGATTCAACGACGTTTTAACGTTCCTTGAGACTTACTTAGCGCCACTGGTTGAGTTTTATTAGCGGTCCAGCTGTCGATGTGTCAAGGATTATGACAGGACGCGGAATTGACCCTTATACTCTTTGCCGAAGAAATACTTTTCTGTGACACACAATAAATATTCTTTTGTTTAGTTTCTATATCTATCCAAGTTCGCAAATCCTTATAAGTTACAGAAAAGCCACGTAATCCCTCGTTGAACCCACGACGACGGGAAGAAAAATGTACCTTTAATCCGATAAATATAAAACGGAGCAGCTGCCAGCTGTTATCATTATTTTAGGTTATAGAAATATTTGAAATGAAAATATATCAGTACTTTATCCTTTGTAAATAGAGTTAAAGTATTTTTACACGAGTGCGATCCTAACCCTTTTCAAGCGAATGGGTTTTCGTTGTTTTCTTCGGCGAGTTTAATAAAAAAAAACCGGCCAAGTGCGAGTCGGACTCGCGCACCGAGGGTTCCGTACAAACCTGCAAGGTTTACAAAGTTCGTTCATTACGACAATCGAGTCATAACTATGGTATTTTTATTGCAAAATGAAATTCATAACATTACAATGGGGAAAGTAACTACTTATAAGGAGAATGCCCAAAAGTGGTATCGGTCGAAATCTAATTGTACATTGAGGGTACCACACCGTAAATTCCTTTCTTCATTAATTGTAATGATTTGCAAAAGTAGTAAGAAATTGTAAAACCTCCGGAATAAAATCCGATTTTAATAAAAAGTATTGTAACAATGAGCTGCAATCAGCAACACCTATCACCGAGCAACGACACTACGTAGTTCGCACGGTTGTCAATAGATGGCGCTGTTCGTAGTTAGCTCGCGGTATCATTTGATTTTTTCCTGTCCTTAAGTAGTCAGGGCTAACCACAAATCCCTTTCCCCTTGCAAAATGGTATAAATAACATTGGTATGCACGCAAGATTATTTTGTGTTTATATCTGATCCTTATCAAATAACGCTAGCTTTGGCGTAGCTAGGGTTTTTTTTTAAAAAAATGTAATTTTCGCAATTTTTCCTATATTTGCATTATATGACAATGCTTTATGCCAAATTTCAAGATTCTGAGTTTACGGGAAGTATCCTGTAGGTTTTGATTCCTTTGCGAGTGTCGAAAATTTGTTGAAAATATCGACATAATCGGCTGTATCTTTTGATTGGCTTGGCTTAGAAGTTTGATATTTTCACAGCTTAAAGGGACAATAGACCTAAGTATTTCATGTGAATTTCAGCTTGATACGTTCACGCGTTCTTGAGATAAAGGGTCTTGACAGAAGGACGGACGGACAACAAAGTGATCCTATAAGGGTTCCGTTTTTTCCTTTTGAGGTACGGAACCCTAAAAACACTAAAATGTTACATAAACGTTTTAAATGGGTCAAGGAGGAGTAGATTACTTAAGCATATATACTTCATTTCACGGTTAAAAAAAATATAACTTCGGAATTTACAAAAAAGATACAGAAATGAATACATTTTGAACCTATCCTACCAATATCATAATTCACACATTTATCTACTCAATGCCTATCATTTCAAAATAAAAATGGAAAAATTTACAATCATTTCAGCTAAAGCAAAAACCTCCACAATTAAGACTTTATGGTTTCGTCATACACTAATTATTTATTAAGCTCCTTCACTTAAACATTTCATAGAAAAATGCGTTTTACGTCCAAAAAAGTCGTGGTATTTGTATTAAACAATAACCAACTCTCGTTTGTTTCAGATAACTTCCAAGCAACATGTCCGCACCAACAACAGACAGTACTGAAGCCATAACGAATTCTGGCTATGGAAGCAGCGATGAAACCGCAAGTCTGCTCATATCGGGCCCATCCGTTACCGTCATAGTTCCCGCCGAACCTAACAGAACTGTCAAGCCTGTGTTGCAAAGACAAGACTGCACAACACACCTCAGGCCGCAACTATCAGGCGGCCCCGGCAGCGAAGAAAGCGCTGCATCTATCAGGATGGAAGAGGGCGCTGCGAGAAGCGTTCCCGACATAGAACTACAATGCCGCGACCAACCCGCCGACCGCCCCCAGACACTAGTTTCCCCCGTCGCCACCTGCTCCCACAGAGGATCCGTTACCGCCTGCCAGTTAGTTCCACATACGTACACGAGATGTCGCGTCTGTGAACGAAGGCAGTCTACAGCACCCATGTCGGCGTTGCAACTAGCGCGATCTGTGTCCAGAGAAAGTGTACGATCTGCTTTACACTATCCTTGTGGTTGTAGTTCACTACACGCTGTCAGTACCTGTCCTGTCATCCAACCTCCAGCCTTATTATTGCCGACGACAAGTACTAGAATCATCCGACAGAGCTCACAACCAGAGTCCAGCGCATGCGCGGCGCACTGCCCTCACCACGCCCATCACCACCCTAGCGCCTCACTACGACAATTGAGGGAACCCGGCGATGGCATTGCCGGCATCGCGGCCGACTCCCTGCGGATCAACGGAGGAATGCGACCGTTCAAACAGGTAAGTCCACCCACCGGTAGATGGCGCTAAATGTGAAAACGTTCGCTCTACTTTGAAATGTTATTAGCCTAATTTGCTAATTGGTATAAATGAAATTGGATTAATGAAATTCAAAAGTTTAAACATGATAATAATGGCTTCTCAGCGGATTTGGGGCTTGCTATGAAAATTATTCGCGATTTGTATTGGCTGTTTTTATTTTCATTAAGCAAAAGTGTTTTCTAAATTTGTTATTATAATTAAATTATATTTGTCGGGGCTAATGCTGTGTTTGTTTGGCTCTCTGTTCATAATCATCTGGGAAAGGCTATCTAATTAAAACTCTAGGCTATGTATCTAATTAAAACGCTGTAATTTTAATAATTTTGTTGCATTTTAAATTAAATGTAAGTAAGCAGTAGTACGTTTTTAGAGCGTGGTAGTAAAAATTTGTTAATTATGAAGTAAGTAATAACTCTGCTACATGCCAGCCTTATATAATGAATAAAAATCCCACGGGGGACATTGCGTGCTTTTGTAACACAAAACAGTACATAGAACTTGTGTTATTATTAAAATAACCTCAGGCTTCAGAAGGGTTCGAGTAGATTGCTTTGGGCTGAATTTTGTATAAAATCTTGAGCGGAATTTTATTATAAAATGTTCCTCTTATCTGAATTAACAAATGTTTTAACGAGATGAGCTTTTCCTTTATGCTTGCCTCCGCCATGTCATGGCCATTCTAATTGTTGTTAGGACGTCATCAGCGTTCTGTCGCTTAGCGCTCTAGTGGTCTTTTATAACTATAGAAAGGTGTTACCCGCTAACATGGTTTTACTGTGAAGTAGCTTGCATGAGTTGAAACGCTACGGTAAGTGTTCCATTCATGACGTCATTCCCTACATGTCTACCATTAACGACATCATTACCTATAGTTATCCTGACATCTTCGACACTTATTGTTATTAAACTCATAGAAGGTTACTTTTGCAGTTGTATGTGCTGTGTAAGGGTCTTGAGACGGGTTCTTTTAAATCAAATCAAATATTTGATTTGGTTTCTTCTTTTTAACCTGCAGGGGCTGCTCCTCTGTCCGCAAACCCTGTCGCAGACACGCCGTGCCCGACTGAGACGGGCGTTCACTGAAGCCACGGGGGATACAGTTACCTACGTTAAGACGGTGGGCTTCAAATTATTGGAATATGCACCGCCAATCGCCGAGGTCGACTGTACAACCCTTTCCCTAAACCTTTACAAGAATTTGATAAACTTATCCAATTTATGTTCTTTAAAGAGAAAAAGTCTATCCTACAAATTAAGTCCTGATAGTGATGTAGAAAGAAATCCTTAGCATGTAACATTATTGTTTTGACCTTTAGCATTTTACAAATGCATGCAATATGGATACACACAATTAGATTAATAGTTACTATAGAATTAAGTGTAAGATCCGTCATTTGATAACATTGATGATTCCCATTGAGGTTGTACAGTCGAAGGGTCGGCATCACGAAAATATATCACCAAAGTAATTTATTAGTTGGCGAATGTGTCGTCCCTATAGCTTCGTCTAATGACCACCGTTAGCCTATCCCCCCACGCCCCAATTTCCCCCAGCACCGAAAATGCTTCTCACGAACAAATCGTTTTCTATACATCAAAATGTCAGCAACTCCTCATCACACTTACGCACGTCGTGTATCAGCAAATTGAGACATTGGCTTTCTGGTCCTTGTGTTTCAGAGATTTTTTACACAGGTACGTTTCACGTGACGTCCATCATCCATCTTTTGTTTCATTAAAAGAAAACGTTTTGTTACCGCTTTAAGAACCCATTACTCAAGCAATACACGGCACCTACACTGCTATTAGACCATCACAAGAAAAATGACGTTGCACATTAGAATATAGATTTAATTTTGATAGTCTGCACTAAAAAAGCTTTTAGAGTATTCATTTAGAGGTTGTTTGGTGTGGACAGCATTCCATTTGTTTCAAATCATGTAGTTGATTTATGTTAGACAGTAAATGCTCTAGAAAATCTTCATCAAATAAATACAGTCATAGTTAATTTAACTAACATAGTAGGTATGCACAAAGCTCTTTAGAATGGTGTATTCAGGTTAAAGATTAATCACGTTCGTAAATTAAACCAGCACAATCATAATGTAATACGCAATGCTCCTAGAATTCTAAATTAGTAGCATAATTTTGCGCCACTCTCCGGAAATTTCGCGCAGCGAACCAACACAAAGAGACTTTACGTTATCCTTTAATGTATTAATCGATATCCACACCTTCTATAATTGTTACACATTTGTAACAAAAACGTACGAGATTTATGAGTTCCAATAAATGTGCAACGCTTGTAAACCACACTACCAGATTGCGAATAATAATGTGGTGTTTTCACTTGATTTAAATATATTGAGCGCCAAAGCTCTGTGATAAAGTAACCATGATATTAAAGATTCTGCGCCAAAGAACCGCATCATTTATTTCCGTCACGAGAAAAATACACACCTGACGGTTCAGAGAACTTCGTATAAGAATATTCTTCGTATCATCTGCTAGGTAGTGGTTTACTTCCGCTACTATTATTGAGTACCAGAGTGACTGACATAGCCCGCAGAATCGCTAAAATCAAGTGGGCGGGGCACATAGCTCGAAGAGATGGTAGCCGCTGGGGCAGGAAAGTTCTTGAGTGGCGACCACGAGCAGGAAGACGTAGCGTGAGCAGGCCTCCCACTAGGTGGACCGACGATCTTGTGAAAGTCGCGGAAGGTACCTGGATGCGAGCGGCGCAGGACCGGTCTTTGTGGAAATCCTTGGGGGAGGCCTTTGTCCAGCAGTGGACGTCTTTCGGCTGAAACGAACGAACGAACGAACGAACTATTATTAAACTGATTCAATCAGCGATGACATTAAGTTCTTTATGCTAGATGACTATGCAATTGGAAATGATCCAAATGGGCCTATTCCAATCGCATTGTTAAGGGGCCTAGAAATTCACGATCATATTTATTGCTTTATGAATTTGGTTAACAGCGCCGCTAAGTAGCAAATATGAAACAACCACTTTACTCGGGGACTTTTATTGCAACACTATAAGAAGTTGGAGATCATTAGCCTTGAGCTGTTCTTCTGATATAGCTGGGAAAGTTTCCTCTTAAGTTCGGTAACGAAATACCAAGCTTATTTCCTCTAATGGATCCCGGTATTGTCGTGAAATATGCCAACTTGGGAGTGGATTGGTTTGAGTTTCAATTACATTGCCTTTCGTGAACATGAAACGTTACGAGTGCGTTATTAGAGAAACTAGTATGCCAACTGTCGCTTGTATTTAATTAAATAGTTTTTATGTGAAATTTATTCCTTTTTGCCAAGGTTTTGTTAACGATCGCAACGTTATTATTTATTTTTCTTCATTTTTGAGTGGTTGAAGCATATAGTAAAGCAATAATTGAGTTTGAGGTTTGAGTGATTAATTTTTTAAATATTTTTACAGAAGATTTCGGGCTATCAATGTTAAAAATCATAATTCATTTTACATTCTCATAATATGTCTGTAGGTATGTGAGAAAATTGATAGGATTCAACTACATCTTGGCATTTACTTTTTATGGCTTTGATAAGTTCTACTTTTTATGGCCTTATTAATACCGCCAAGATAACTCCTTTCTGTTTTGGGAAGGTTTCCAACATAAACCTCGTAATCAAGTTTTGGAAGGTTGCCCGCCTCCGTGAACAGTCGAATAGGATTCCGCCCCGTCATCTTGTTAGAAGAAAGCAATAGTTACTTGAGACTGATAAATATCATGTAATAATGTGTTTGTGAAGTTGACGCATTAGTATGTTACTAACTTTGGTTCTTAGAAACGAAAAAAAAAACATACTAAAAGATTATTGGAATTCTGATGCATGACTATGCGAGCGTATACGAGTACATCAATGTCATAGGGGGAGTAATGTTAATGCGAAATCTCAAAAAAAGTACTTAGGCTGAGTTGCACCACCTAATTTTGACCGTAACTGTAACGATAACCGGCGTTTTTTGTATGGAGTTTGACAGATTTTTGACGTTTCTCAAAATTAAAGTAAGATGGGATGAGGCAACCATGCCTTACACTTTTTCTTCTAATACAAACATTATACTTTATTTTGACGTGGGATTAATTCTGAACATACTAGTAAATTATGTTACAGTAACTAAACAAAACTCAGAACAATGTTTATCTCATTTCGTTCCGGCAAAACACACATAACGAAGGACGGGAAAATTGGTACGATAGGTTTTTCCACATGGACGGAGCCACGTGTAACCTTTTCCTTTTTGAGTGGCTCAGTATATTATAATTTGTATTGGCTGTATCAGTAAAAAACTACTCAGTAAAACTCATTTATTTCTGTAAATAGGCTTAAAAAAAGCACTTTTACATCAGACTGTTGATGTGATAATACAAGCCATATGATGATTGTTTTGAAGAAGAAAAAGCATCTTAAGCTTCAACCAAACCAACGCGTACAGATCACCATCGCCGGTGCGATCATAGGACAATGACAGGACGCGCGACCAATGCCAGGTCTCGCGGCGACCTCGCACCATAACTGCGAGTACAATTAAAGCTTCAACCAAACCAACGCGTGCAGATCGCCATCACTGACCTGATCATACCTAGGCGAATGACAAGTCACGCGACCAGACGTGTGCAGGTCGCCATCGACGCGATCATAGGCGTATTTTCATAGAATTAAACAAAGTAAAACAGACCTTGAAAAGAGGTTTTATATTTTTAATCAGTTTTAAGGACTGCGATATTACGCGCAGCTATGATATTTCTGAAGAAAATTAACAAACATTAGGTATTATTATAATTTGACTTTACTAAGAACGTAAAATCAGACTGCTCATTTGCATTTCATTCAGAAAATGGAGTCAAAATTTGCTTTTTTAATCCGCTTGATGCAGTCTTATCAGTATAAGCTAATTTTTTTCATTATTTTCTGTGCCAGAGTTCAGTTTAAAATAATAAAATGTAACATTCTGTTGCTGCAAATTTTACCGAGTAATCTCACAGTTAAATGTTTGTTTATACTATTATACACTATATTAAGAGGTCCAGTATTTGCATCTGGTGCATAAAAATTATACAGTTACATTTATTTTTAAATATTTTTTTTAAAATAAACAAATTACAAGGTACTCGGAGATTCTAAATTACGAAAAAGATAACGAACTAGGGCATGTTAGATAATTTTCATTAATATTCCAATTAAATAATGATACCACCATAACAACAACTTGAAAGCATTACGGTTAAACGCTTCTAAATTCCATTACAGAGATAAATTCGCTCGCGTTTTATTAAACATTTTTGTTTTTACTACATGCTCTGGGGCTGGACGTAATTATGTTCATACCGCACGCTGCATCGGATAAGGACAAATTTAATCAGCGCTGTAATTGAATACCGAGTTACGAGTTCCATCCAATAAACGCTTAATTTGCCAATAACAGAGAAATAACTGATGCATGAACTTATACCAGCCGGTTTTATTAGGAATTGTGTAATTTTACTCCAGGTGACAATTTTCATATTAAGTTACATTTCTTTGTCCTAAAAAAACGCTTTAACGCTCTTGAATCCAATTTTAGATTTAATTCAATAAGTACAATTTTACAAGAAAAGTACCTATAAATTACATTGATATTATTAATTTTTTGCACATAATTGTGCATTTTCTTACAGACGCTCCCCACTATAGTTATTTGAATTTGTTGTGTATTTATATAATGCCAAATTGGAACTATTTTTGCATGAACAATATTTGGGTCAATTTCAAGTAGTTTTCTTTTGGCCAGTATGATTTATAGAAAATAAAATGCACTTTATTCAGAAGGCAGATGAAACTGTACATACCGGTTTCAGTATCGGATAGGGGAAAATTTAATCAGTGCGGTAATTGGATACCGAGATAGGGGTTTCATCCAATAAACGCTTTATCATCAATAGATAATGCCGCGACTCATACTCGAGTTAATGTGAGTAACAACAGCAATAACTACTTATGTGACTGTGTCGTTCTAAAAGGTTAAAAAATACTACAAATGTAGCAAAAGTTATACTTCAAATGAATACAAATTGAGTCGGTCAACAACACGTTATTTACAAAGAAAAC